AACCTGAGGTACCACTTTAGCTAATGGGGCCTCCCACTGCCGTTGCACAATTTCTGTTCTCATCCTGAAGCAAAGTTCTTAACCTGAGGTACTATTTCTAGGTTAGCGGAGTCTGTAACCTGAAGCGTCTGTAACCTGAAGCATCTGTAACTCGAAGTACCACTGTACTTTTCTCCGGCCCTCAGCAGCCTCCTCCAACGATCAACAACCTCCCTTTTATGACATGAGCAGGGAGTTACCTCCTGATGTTACCTTGACAGGTTGAATTGAACCTGTCAAGGGTCAGGAGCGGGCTTTGGTCTTTCAAATTTCAGTGGCGCCCTGTGCAAACCCAAAATTTGCTGCCCCTCTCACCTCTTGTCTTCCATTCTGCAAGTGCACTATGTCATAATTGCAGTGCCTTGTGGCGCCCAATCCAGAGTAGAGGGACTGTTCCTGCTACCGTAAATCTGCCCCTGTAAGACTGAAGAATGCAGACCACTAGTGAGTTGATTTGTAAAATCAAAGAGAATCTAGAGGCAACCATACCCTCCAACATTTTTCCATTGGAAATAGGGACGTCCTATTGCATAACAATACTATTTATTTTTATTTCATTATTTATACCCTACCCATCTGACTGGATTGCTCCAGCCACTCTAGGCAGCTTCCAACACATATAAAAACATAACAAAACATAAAACGTTTAAAAACTTTCCTATACAAGGCTGCATTCAGATATCTTCTAAAGGTTACTTGTCTCCTTGGCTCATGGGGTTACATAACTTCATGCCCTCCAATATTTCTCCTATGAAAATAGGGACGTCCTACCATACCCTCCAACATTTCTCCAATGAAAATAAGGACGTCTTAAGGAAAAGCAGGACATTCAGGGATCTAATCAGAAAACGGGATGGCTTCTGTAAATTCAGGACTGTCCTTGGAAAATAGAGACACTTAGAGGGTCTGTGCTTCGTATCTGTTTAATCCAAGAATAACGGTTTAAGAATTTCTAGTTCAGGCAGTGCACAGGAAATATCTTTGAACATAAAGGTAAAGGTACCCCTGCCCGTACGGGCCAGTCGTATCCGACTCTGGGGTTGTGCGCCCATCTCACTTAAGAGGCCGGGGGCCAGCGCTGTCCAGAGACACTTCCGGGTCACGTGGCCAGTGTGACGAAGCTGCTCTGGCGAGCCAGCACCAGCGCAGCACACGGAAACGCCGTTTACCTTCCCGCTAGAAAGCGGTACCTATTTATCTACTTGCACTTTGACATGCTTTCAAACTGCTAGGTGGGCAGGAGCTGGGACCGAAAGACGGGAGCTCACCCCGCCGCAGGGATTCGAACCGCCGACCATGCGATCGGCAAGCCCTAGGCACTGAGGTTTTACCCACAGCGCCACCCGCGTCCCTTCTTCTTTGAACATACGGCTCCAAATAAAAGTGCAATGGCTTTGTCTAAATTGCAAATTACTAATAGAACATTATGAAGTTTGTTCACATTAGGAGCAGTCAGAAGTCAAACATAATGGAACACCATACATGCAACAGAAAGCTCATACATGATAATTTAGCCATGCGGAAATGGGTTTTGAAGTGGTCCCTGGTGGGTTTTGAGGGTTTTTTTACTTGATCCCGAGAGGATCCAGATGCATTCCAGAAAAGCATTTTAAACCCACTATCTGAAATTACATACTCCTCTCCAGTCATTACAGTGCATTACGATGACATCCTGCCATTGGAATGTTACAGGAGAAATTACTTCCTCGCTGCATCTTTATGTTAAACACTCTCCTTACAATATTTGAACTCCCACATTTCAGTGTTCTTTGTATTTGTTGGCTAAATTCTGCTTTCGCACACCCTTCTGCATCTCATTAAAAATAATTAATGTTGGCTTAATTAGCAATGCAGTGACTTCTCTCAAAGCACAAAGCAGCCTTTCCCAGATAGTTTTAAATAGGCCCATAGGATACAAGTTTAAAACCGGGTAACACTTTCAGTTTTTACAGTCACGACTGATATCAGTGCATGGGGAATAACCTTTCTTCTTTAGCTCAAGCTGGAAGTTTTATAGCTTTAGACTGCAAACTGCCCTGTGATCCTTGGATGAAGGACGGCGTATAAATTTAGTGAAACATGTAGTGCTAAAACTGTAGCATTGAATAGCAAGCTTTTTCATGTTTATTAGTGGGCAACATTGTCAGGAAACACAAATTTCTATGCCTACATTTGCTGAAACTATGGGAATTCGCCAGGCCTGGGGAGGACACTCATGGGAAAGGACTGGCAGGTGAAGAAAGAGCTATTTAACCCACCCCAGGTCCACTGATTCTCCCCTGCTAATATCCACCAGCTATTATTTTTCCTCCACTGGACTTATTTCTGGTTTTGAACCCTACAGGTGAAAATGACAATTACCAAAGCCTGAGGGTGGAGGGACGTTTGCAAGGAAGAAATGGTGGATAGGGCAAGGAATGACCAGTTCTCTCCCGCCTACTTTTCTATCTTGTTTTGCACAAATATCCAAATATAACCTAGGTACTGTACATAACTTGTTGAAACTGCACTAAAAACTTGTATTATGCAGTTAAATATGGCTGAAACAACTAAAGAACTGTGTGCTTCCACCCAAGGCATATATTCTGGAATCACGGCTTTTTGTTCACTCACTTCATAGGAGGACTGCACAAAAACATCAGGGATGGGTAATGAACGTTTACTACACCCCTCTCTCCCCCACACTCCCCCTCTCCCCCTCTCTTCTCTTCCAACCTTATACTTACTACACCACTGAGCCTCTTGGGTTTGCCAATCAGAAGGTCAGTGGTTCGAATCCACACAACGGGGTGAGCTCCCGTTGCTTTGTCCAGCTTCTGCTAACCTAGCAGTTCGAAAGCATGTCAAAGTGAAAGTAGATAAATAGGTACTGCTCTGGTGGGAAGGTAAAAAGCATTTCTGTGTGCTCTGGGTTCTGTCACAGTATCCCGTTGCACCAGAAGCGGTTTAGTCCTGCTGGCCACATGACCTGGAAAGCTGTCTATGGACAAAAGCCGGCTCCCTCAGCCTGAAAGCGACATGAGCACCGCAACCCCGTAGTCATCTTTGACTGGACTTAACCGTCCAGAGGTCCTTTACCTTTAGCTTTACCTTACTTACTATAGCATGAACGTCTCACATCAAATATAACTAATCTGTAGAAAGGACTTTATGATCTGAAAACAGAAGCAATGTATGCACTTTCGTAACGCAAGAAAAACTTTAAGAAAAACAAGAAAGAAAGAGAGAGAGTGAGAGAGAAAGAAAGAAAGAAAGAAAGAAAGAAAGAAAGAAAGAAAGAAAGAAAGAAAAACACACCAGTAAATAGGATTACCATACATCTGGGAAAACCCAACATGCCCATCCGGCTGGATTTTTACATTTTAAAGGAAATGTCTGGAGTCTGGCGGGGTCTGGGGGTGTTTTTTTAGTGGCTCAGTCTCGGGCAGCTCGGTCTCGGGCGGCATGGGCTCAGGCAGCTCTGCAAGCCACGGCCCCTGCCAGTTCAAGCCAGGGATATGCAGTCCACGCTCTACAAGATATGGCAACCCTGACAACAAATAATTTTTAGAAAGGGGCAAGATTCGATTCAGTTACACAACACTTTTTTAAAAAACAAAACAACACCCACAGTCCTTGTGTTCTGCTCTGCTCCCCATTTCTTCCCACCCAGGGCAGCCCTATATTCTGACTGAACCTCAGAGCCAGCCTGCCACGTGAGGCTGGGCCTCGGAGGCAGTGATAGCCTCTCCTCCTCATCTGCTCTCTAGAAGCTGCTATGAGCTCCCCAAGGGAGGAGAGGCCACGGAGAGGTAACAGGATGCTCCCTCGCATTCCAGGATTAAATCAGAAGCCAGGATGGATTTTGTAATTCCAGGGCTGCCCCTGAAAAATAGGGACACTTGGAGGCTATGCACTCTTCTCAAGTCACACCCCTCGCCAGACCCGATTTTCACCTTCCTTGAGTGTGCAAACTGATAATGCTTCTCACTTGCCTGGATGGAGCGTAGAGAGGAGTGTCTGAGTGCATACAGAAACTAGTCTACTGTATAATAATAATAATAATTTATTTATTTATACCCTGCCCATCTGGCTGGGTTTCCCCAGCCACTCTGGGCGGCTTCCAACAGAAGATTAAAAATACATTAAAACATCAGTCATTAAAAACTTCCCTAAACAGGGCTGCCTTCAGATGTCTTCTAAACATCAGATAGTTGTTAATTTCTTTGACATCTGATGGGAGGGCATTCCACAGGGTGGGCGCCACTACCGAGAAGGCCCTCTGCCTGGTTAATATAAAGGTTAAATTGGCATTTGCTGCTTTGCCCACTTTTGCTGATGGCCCTGAATGTGCTTCCTGAAACATTGCCTGGAAGGGAATGTAGCCCTCAGGCTGTAAAATGTTCCCCACCCCTGGATTAATTACAGTTCTCCTCATAGTAGGGATGGAGGATAAATTCAGTTCAGTTCACATTTAAAAGCAAACCTACCTCATTTGCACTTTCCAAAACAGTACAGGAAGCGACATGTTGCCATCCTTCAAAATGTGGACTTCTCCGAATTTTGAAAGGCAGTTCTCCAGTCAAGTAATGCATACAACAATGCATATACTGGGTTAAAGTGTGCATCAAAGAGCATACATCGGCAAAAACAGCATACAAAGATGCTTTATATTATGAGGAACTGCTCCTCCCAAATGTGTCTGTTCGGCAAAATTGCAAACAAACGTGCACAATAGGAGAAATGATCACTAGTGAACTTTCATTAGAGCTTTTTAAAAAATAAAGAAAAAACTGGTGTAGAAATATGCAGAAATGAACTTAAGACTGGAAGACCTTGCTGTCTCTGGTCTCTTCTATGGCCCCTCTACCCCAGTTGCTTAGCCCATACTGAGCCACCCTGGCATAAATCCAGGCTGCATAGCAGCATAGAAGGGACCACAAGGGTCCTCAAGTCCAATCCCCTACATTGCAGGAATCATTTTGCCAAATGTGGGGCTCAAACCTATGACCCTGAGATTAGGAGTCTCATGCTCTACTCACTGAACTATTTAGCTTCGAGTACCTGCATAAATGGGATGCAGGTGGCGCTGTGGGTTAAACCACAGAGCCTAGGACTTGCCGATCAGAAGGTCAGTGGTTCGAATCCCTGGAACGGGGTGAGCTCCCGTTGCTCGGTCCCTGCTCCTGCCAACCTAGCAGTTCAAAAGCACGCCAAAGTGCAAGTAGATAAATAGGTACCATTCTGGCAGGAAGGTAAACAGTGTTTCCATGCGCTGCTCTGGTTCGCCAGAAGCCGCTTTGTCATGCTGGCCACATGACCCGGAAGCTGTATGCCAGCTCCTTAGGCCAGTAAAGCGAGATGAGCGTTGCAACCCCAGAGTCGTCCGTGACTGGACCTAATGGTAAGGGGTCCCTTTACCTTTACCATTTACCTGCATAACTGCCACTGAAAGAAGACTAGGGAAATAGTTGAAGGGTTCCTCCACTCTCAAAAGCATAAACAGAGCTGGTGCAGCAGACCTCTTTCTGTGGTGAAGATTGCCTTTGTGAAAGGGAGCCAGCGGAGACTCTCTTGCAAGGCAAAATGGGAACAGAGGAAAGTTTATGTCGGCTCTAATTGTGCTGCCGTTTGTTTTGAAATTGGCATGAAATAACAGACTCATGGGCACGAGAGAAAAGCTGTTGCGTGGTTTCATTACAGCAGCTCAATACGTGGTCGGGGAGTCGTTTCTACCCAATTTTATTATACACCATGAACCTAAGAGCTGAATCACTTTAAGAAATGAGGAAACGCGTATTTGGGTTGTTATGCCTTTACCTTATGAAGCTGCAAAAGGTACAGAGAGGGAAGCTTCCCAAGAGGTTCCTGTCTACCTATTACGTTTCTATTTATGCTGGTCCAGGTTATAATTAACTTTCCCCCTCCTGCTTTTACATTTGGAGGAAAATGTGAGAACACAGAGGCCCAGAACATATAATGAAGACCTCTGCAATCTTAATGTACCCAAACAGGGCTTGAGAGAGAGTCTTGCTGTCACACGTGCAATGCAGCTTCCTGTTGTGAGTGTAATTACAGTTTTTATTGGCACTTCAGACTGTCTACCTCCCAGAGAGATAACACTGTTTATTATCAAAAAGCTTTCTGGTTATACTGTGCTGACTGCTACAACGTATTATTCTATGGGCCCTTTTAAAAAAATGTCCACTTACGGTAGTGTTTGGTATTCCATGTAGCCAATGCTAGTTTACCCTATTAAAACATCCATTGTGATTTTTAAATATATTTTTTCCTCCCCTATGTTAAGCACTGCCTCCCCTTCTTTTCTTTTCTTTTTTGGATATTTGCTTATATTCAAAACATGGGATCTGATTTTCTTCACTAAAAATAAATAAGACTAAAGTAGAAGTAATCCAAAGGCTGGATTCCCAAATGAGCAGAAAAATACAAATGACAATTCAGATTAGATAGCAGCATTCAAATCCATAAAAATCTTCAACAGACATCAGGGAAGGAGCAAGCCATTTCTGCAGATTCTAGAAGTGGATAGAAAGAAACAAATGATAAGGAAATAGCAACCTTCACTTTATGATCATTCCACAATTTGTTTATTTATTTTTTACATTTTGGAAGCCAGTTTTATTCTAAGGCAGTGTGTATTATCACATCATCATATCATGACATGTCAAGGTGCATATTTCCCAAAGCGAGTCAAGTTATTGGAGGCAGAAAATCCCACCTGCACCTCACTCTGCCTAATGGTAGAGCCGGCCCCAGGGGCGGAGGAAGGGGGGCGGTGGGGGCGGTTCGCCCTGGGTGTCATCACTGAGGGGGTGACATTCGACACGCCACCCGCCCGCGACTCCCAAGCCTATCCCAAGCCGTCAGGGGAAGGGGCGGAGCTGCGCTGCCTTGCCGGCGGCCTTCCCCCCTTCCCCTTTCATTTTGAAAGCTCAGGAGAGGCTTGGGAGTTGCAGGCGGGTGGCACACCGTTGTCCCCCCGTGCCCGGGCTGCTTGCTGGGGGGGGGTCTCCCCCAAGCTGTCAAAAGGAAGAGGGAAGGGAGGAAGGCAAAGCAGTGTGGCTCCCTCCCTCCACCCACCCAGGAAGCAGCCCACCATGGGCGGCTCGCTCTGCCCCCCATGGGTGTCTTGCCCCCTGGGACACTCGCCCCATCCCTGGGATGCCTGCCCTGCCCCCATGGCCCTGCCCCCGGGTGCAAAGCATGTGCGCTGCTCCGGGTACTGGAGCACCTACCTCCACCTCTGACCAGCCCTTGATGTTTAGTCATTTAGTCGTTTAGTCGTGTCCGACTCTTCGTGACCCCATGGACCAGAGCACGCCAGGCACTCCTGTCTTCCACTGCCTCCCACAGTTTGGTCAAACTCATGCTGGTAGTTTCAAGAACACTGTCCAACCATCTCGTCCTCTGTCGTCCCCTTCTCCTTGTGCCCTCCATCTTTCCCAACATCAGGGTCTTTTCCAGGGAGTCTTCTCTTCTCATGAGGTGGCCAAAGTATTGGAGCCTCAGCTTCAGGATCTGTCCTTCCAGTGAGCACTCAGGGCTGATTTCCTTAAGAATGGATAGGTTTGATCTTCTTGCAGTCCATGGGACTCTCAAGAGTCTCCTCCAGCACCATTGGGAAATGACCAGCCCTAATTGGGGGGGAAACATTTGCAAAGGCAGCAGAAAGAGGAGACCATGTTTTCCCAGTAAAGTCCTGGTACATGTGGTTCTAGTGTTCGGCAACCTCTGGATAGGAAGAGCTTAGACAAAACTGCATTTTCAAGCTCATTTATCTTTTATAAAAAAAAAATGTTCTTCCCTTCCTTTTCAATGGTTTGGAACCCCTGCAGATTTTTGTCAAATTTACTTGTGTATTTCTGTACTCACGTTTGAGACATCATCGTATCATGCGTCGTTATTTACAATGTATAATTTCTTACATGGCATCCAACAAGCTATCTTCTGATAGGCTCTCTTAGCCTCATGTGACCTTGTATTTTCCACAAAGAGGTAGCTTAGTGTAATGGGTACTAGCATGGCTGGGCTAAGAACTGAGAGACCCTGTCAATATGCCCTTATTCACTAGGTAGTCTTAACCGAAGGACAGAATAATGGAGGGCAGTAGGTGACGCTGTAGACCAAGCAGCACAAAATAAATGAATGTGTATATCACAGGCAGCAATAACTCTATCTTAGCACTTTCAAATCACTATTATACTGACTCCAGCTTTAGTGTGTATGAATGTTTTATCCATTAATTTAACACAGTTCAGAATAAATAAAGAAATCAACAGATCATCACAGAACTTGGCACCCTGTTGTGGCAAGACTTAGCCCATAGCTCTGTTAATAAAGTTAATATTGCTGCTATGAAAAATCAAATTTATTTATTTATTTTTGCTTGGGCAATCAATTTGGTTTGGATTGCTGGGTGTGCAGTGCCAACAGGCATGAGTTTAGGATAAAGTTATTCAGAAATACCACACCTTTAAAATTATTTTGCCCTGAGCATCATCAAATCTTTCAAACAGCATGTATGTCAGTAATGGGGAGTGGGCGGAATTTGAGAAGGAGAATGACTGTCTATTAATCACTAGAAAACAAAAGTTGATTATGTGCATACAGCTGCAGTTGTCAGTAGTATGTTGTCCTTATAGGTGAGCAAAATCAGAGCTGGAAGGGACCTTGGAGGTTATTTGGACCAACCCCTTGCTCAGTGTAGGTTGTACAATGCAGGATACAACTATAGCATCCCTGACCATTGGCCATCCAGGCTCTGCTTAAACACATCTAATAAAGGAGAAACCACCACTTCTCAAGACACCCTCCCAGAGACCATAGGATTGCATCCAAAGACTGGAATCGTATACCTGCTTGCCTGAGAATTTGCCCTGCTGAACTCTATGAGATTGACTTCACAATAGACATATACAGGATTTCACTGCAAACTCCAAGAAGACTTCATCCCATTTTTACAATGAATATTCTGGCTGAGATTCACCCACCAAACACCATCAGTGGGAGCTCTGCACAAAGGCACTTCCACCTCCCCTTATCTCATGCCTCCCAAAATTGGTTTGGGGGGGTTGGTTGATAAGCAGCAACCCCAGAAAAGCATGGGAGGTAGGAACTGTTCTATCTGGAAAGCTGGTATACTTGTGCAGATGAAGTCTGTGATGGCGTGACGTTGACTACCAGATCCACAACAAATAATAGGCATACAGGAAATCCAAAACAGAGTATTTGGCATAATGCAGCTTTGCTGGCAAGTTTACAATAGGCCTGAGCTTACGCAGCATGGAGGCCAACATTTTCAAGCATCACTTCTTACACATCAATCAAACCAGCTTCAGAAAGAGAGGGTGAAAGGACCAGTCGTGTTCAGTGACTGTTTCCATAGAGACACAGAAATTAAATGACAGGAAAGACCTTTAACATCATCTAGCCTTCCTGTGCAATGGTTTGCGTCATTCGCTGCTGACTGTGGAATTTCATACTGTAGCCTTTCCCCATTATACTTATAGATGGCTTTGCTCTTCAAAGGCTGGGAGCTGCAGCCTTGTCTCCCTCTCATATCCTAAGTGTTCAATCGTTTGTCTCCATCAGCTGAATCATGACGCACGCTGTGACAAAATTAGTACTCAAATGCAAGAAGACAGCATTAGATCTCTTTTGTATAGCTTATAAATCCATCTTGTGTGTGTGTGTGTGTTTTAAAAAACCAAGGTTTCTTTTGCAAATAATAAGTGCATCAATAGATTTCTATCAGATCTTGGTAGTTTATCATCAGAATATGTTTTACGTCAGCCCCAACTATGAGACTACTATGAGTATTAAAGAGTTTTATGTACTTACTCTTCATTTCTTCTAGTCATAAACCATACACTAGATTAAAGCTGATCTTTTCTAGTTGTTACAATAATCTTGATGTCCTGGAAATTAATCGGCAAGAGAAGTAGCTGTCCAGCTTACTGCTTCTGCCAAGGTCTAGCAGGTGTGAACCAGCTTTAGGCCTCATCTAAAATATCACAAGGCCAGCTTCATATCCAAGAGAAATCAAGAGTGAAGGAATGGGTTGTGGGGTGAGGTGTCACAGGATTGACAGCAAAGAAAATATCCAGGTGCCTTTATTTATTTACACTTACACTCCAGTCTTCATCAGAGGAGCTCACATATGCAGCAGAATAAGGTGAAAGAATGCTGAGTTGGTGAAACGAGCTGAACACCTTTGGATTCTACTCTTGGGGGTTCCCTCCAAATAGAAACCTACCACATCAAGGAACATGCCTTTGCTTGTTATGCTGGTTTTCTATTCGCAGCAGACTTTTTACGAGGGGCATGAAAAACGTGACTCTCCACCTACAATCTGAAATGATGCAGGCTGCTCTATCATTTCACCATACTAGCTCCTTAGTCTGTTGGCTGTGTAGAGCAGCCTTATGTGTGCCAATTGTGAACTGGGATCCTTTTTTACATATTCACATATATAATGAATAGGAGTTTAGGGTGGGCCTTGGTGGTGGTGGCCTCTACCCCTCCTCACCCACTCTCCGGCAGCTTCGACGAGCTGCTCAAGGGAGGAGGCTGGCAGCGGGGGCCATGGAGAAGTAACAGTTGCTCACAACAAGCACCGGCTCATCCTTCTCCTGCAGTTTGGCAGTGGCAGCACTGGCGGGGAAAATAGGGAACTTCCAAGATCAAATAAGAAGCTGGGATGGCTTTCCTAATTCCAGGACTGTCCCTGGAAAATTGGTACACTTGGAGGGTGTGTGTTAGTTGTATTTCAACTACATCCAGAGCTGGCCAAGTTGGCTCCCTCTGGTCCACAGAATGTCTCAGTCCTATCAGATTCAGATTCAAAATGGACTCTGTTTGTTTCTAGCTCTTTGTACTTTTGGTACTTTATAAGCATTATGGAGCAAGGGGCAGATCAATTCTAAATTGAGTTTAGGTGGTGGAATTGTAATTGAAAAGGGCATGCCCCAAATGCACAAGCGCTATTGAAAAGTTAGCTTTAGTTCACCAGCATTAGCTGGTGGAGCCAGAATACACAGATTGGGGGGGGGGTAGAAATATTTCAGCTGCAAAGAAGATAGGGGATACACAAGTTGGATTTAATCCAGAAGGTCAGTAAAGCGCAGAAATGGATGAGATCAGCAAATAGAATATATTGTTCTAAAGTCCACAGCTGGAGTTGGGTTGTTGTACAGCTTACTGAAAGCTAAGAAACATTTCTCTTGAGTATCCCTGAGAGAAGGTTTTGCTTACATACTCCAAGTCTAATTGACCATCACATTTGTGGTTCAAGAGAACTTTTTTCCCTAGGATCAGATTAGCCTGGAGAGCTCTGCCCTTCCCTGAAATGCTATTTGTCTCTAGCATAATGTATTTGGCTGGTCCTCTGTTTAATCTCTGTTTATTGCACTGCATTATCTAGGCAATGTTCATAATGTTTTAGGACTATGGCTATAAAGAATCTGGCCTTCAGGAAGGGTGTTGAAGGGCATTTGCCTTCCAGCTGAGTTCTTCAGGGCTATTATATTACTCCTGTGACCCATAATGCCCTGCTATGAAGAGACAGGCCTCTAATTTAGTCTTTGATATGTCGTTGTCTTTAATATGGTCACTGACAGGGGACAATGAGCATTTCAGGCCAATTTGACTATCCTTTGCCCCAAATTTAGACAATCTATCTGAGCAGATCCTCAAGCCTGCTGTGCATGGGCTTTTGCAAGTGCCACCAGCCCCTGTCATCAGCACTTGCAAAGCACTCTGCATGGGCTTGATGAGCACCAGCCATCAACTGGTCATTGGCTCTTGCAAAGCCTTAGCCTGCACAATTTTATTTCAAGTGGCACAGGCAAAGGAGAACAGGTCACCAGATATCATGGTGATAGGGGACATGGTGATCTGACCTACTGGCCAGGTCTGATGCCCTACCACTGTAAATGCACATTGGAAAATGGCAGTACCCATTTATTTATATGTTTAACAGCACCACAGCTGAGGAGGGTGGGTGGCAGCATTGCCACAGCTCTCCTATCTCTGCTCCTAGGTCCAGCTTGACCCGGGAGTGTACCAGCGGCTGGCGGCATTGGACCGATTCAGGCTCCAATGAGGGCACCTGGTCATGCCCCTCAAAAAAAATGTGCCTGGGTCTATGCCCCTCCAGCCTCCTGCTATGCCACTGCACCACACACACACACACACACACACAGTGTTTCAGAATTCTTCCTCTAGTGCAGAGAGCATAGGTACCACACCACCAGGGAATATGAGTTCTGTTCACAGAAAGTCAATGTATGAAAAACAATCTATTGCTCCTATTTTTCAGATCATCTTCCTGGGGCACCCACATACTGCATTATTTTTGGTTAGGGCTTGCATATGCACCCCATAATCGCCTTTGACTGGACTTAACTCCAGGCCAGGGGTCCTTGGCTTTTAGTTATTTTTACCTTTTATTGACAAAAGTCTAGGACTTTTCTCCAGCGTGTAACTTGAAGGGAGGATGCTGCGATCTTCAGCAACTGTTGAGATGATCAGAATATCCAGATGGAAAGTGCATGCATTTAAAAACTGAGGATATCATTATGCACAGTAAATGACTGCAGGCTTTGAGCCAGATTGCCTCACTAGACATGCTCGGATGAAAATGACAGCCCCATTTGGCCCTCACCGTCCGTCCATCTGAACCTGCAACAGTTAATCTTAAGGCAAGGCCAAACTGATATTCCACAGATTCTTGGATGGCCACCATCCATCACTGTGAATGAATGGTCTCGCATATCACACACTTAGCAACCAAAACAAAATTCACTGCCAATGTATAACATTTATAGGAGAGCTTTCTCCTCCTGTCAGGTCTCAAAATATTCATGCATGGACGTCACACAAGTAAGCCATCTGCTTGATTATATAATTGCAATCATGTTATGGTAGCACTTCACACTCCTCCATCAGAATGCTGAACCCTTGAATGGAATGGAAACCCATAAGCAGCAGAAGAAAGAAAAAGGACTCTCCTAACATAACTCTCCCATCCTTACACAAACCAGAAATGTTCTTGAATTATCCTGGTTGCCACCACAATCTTGATTCACATGATTGATTTGATATGATAGACCACAACCCTTTTTCCAGTGGATTCTTGGGTGTGTTGAACCAGTCTTGTTTGCTTTTTCACAAATAGACAGGTCTAAGGACTTGGTAACCTCAAAGTTAGCTTACTGCAATGCGCTACATGGAACAACCCTTGAGGTTGGCTGAGAGGCGGCAGCTAGAGCAGAACATAGTGGCTAGAATGGTTTTTAGGGGGGTGAACTACTGCCAGCAGGAACTTACTTTATTTGTATCCCGAATTTTCAGCCAAAAAGGTTCCCAGGGCAGCTTGCATATGATCAACTATAGCGAGACAGTCCCTGCCTGCAGGCTTATAATCCAAAAAACACAACTTGCAAGGGTAAAGTAACAGAGAAGAATGAGGGGGAAAGCAAACTTGGGTACCGATTCTTTACAGGATTTCTGTCTACTTGTTTCCCATGTAACTTGCTTTTCAATGTCACGTGAAGACATATCTCTTTGGCTGGTTTAATGAGCTGGTTTCTTCTGCTGGATTGCCATTCCATGGTGTTTATTGGTTTTGTGGCTTTTATGGGACAGCTTTATGTTTGTGTGCCACCCTGGGAATCTTTGGGTTGAATGGCAGACTAACAACAACAACAACAACAACAACAATAGCAGCAGCAGCAACAACAACAACAACAACAGATTGAGATGATGGTGATGATATGAGCACTGAATCTCTTTACCACTGAATATTTCTGGGGATATCAAGGGTGTGTTGTAATTAATATTGGAAACATTTTGGCAAGTGCTTCCAAAAAGATCTTTTTGCTGTTCAGCTTTATTAACTCTCAGAAGAGCTGTAGGTCTAATGCAGAAGGTTGGAAATAAAAATATTTTATGCATTTTTCTGCATGTTTTGAATAGGTGTTGATTCACATTATCCTGAGACCTGCTCATTATGAAATAAAAAAAATTCACTGATGGAACATAAAAGTCTAAAAACTAACGTTCAGGGTTGTTGTTTCCTCTGACACCTGTACTCTGTCTCATAAAGTTTGGGAGTGTATATACTTATTGGAATATTTCTTAGAATTTACGTTTTTAGTATCATAGCTGATATTCAATATGCCATGATGATGATAACTAAGATCCAGTTCCTTAACTCAGGAGGAAATTATCTTAGCACCACTAAGTTCAGGAGAATGTAGCTGATTAATGTAAAATCTGGCTGCCTCACAGGAGTACAGTTGGGTCAGTAATGTAAAAAGTATTTTCCAGAAAATTGGAAAAAACAGAACTAGAATAACTCTAACATGTAAGATGATAAAAAGGCTTGTGGTTTCCTATGAGTCCTTCCCTACCTTTTTGGAGAAAGGAAGGCTTGACAGCATACAGCAACCAGGAAGCATTTACTAGCACTGGGTAAGTGTTAGTGAATCTTAGGGAAGCTTGGTGGTAGAGCATCTGTCTTGCATGCAGAACGTCCCATGTTCAATCCCCAGCATCTCCAGATCATGCTGGGGGAAAACTACCACCTGAAAATGTGGAGAGCAGCTGCCAGTCAGTGTAGGTGGACCATGGGGTCTGACCTGGTACAAGGAAGCTTCCTCTAAGGCAAACTTAGACAGTGCTGAGAGTATTAGTTCAGATAGAATTAAAATGCTGTTGGACTTAAACTTACATCAGCCCCAGCCACCATGGTCAATGGTCAGGAATGGTGGGAGTTGGGATAGCACAACATTGGGTACCCCTTGTCTAGGGGTAAACCAGGGGTGTGAAACCTGTGGCCTTCCAGATGTTGTTGCACCACAACTCCCATCACTTGTGTAGTGATTAAGAGCCAGTGTGGTGTAGTGGTTAAGAGCAGTGGACTCGTAATCTGGGGAACCGGGTTCGCGTCTCCGCTCCTCCACATGCAGCTGCTGGGTGACCTTGGGCTAGTCACACTTCTCTGAAGTCTCTCAGCCCCTCTCACCTCACAGAGTGTTTGTTGTGAGGGAGGAAGGGAAAGGAGAATGTTAGCCGCTTTGAGACTCCTTTGGGTAGTGATAAAGCGGGATATCAAATCCAAACTCTTCTTCTTCTTCATCATCCCTGACCAACTGGCCATGCTAGCTGGGTGGTGATGGAGTCCAGCAACATCTGGGAGCCCACACCTTCCCCATCCCTGACTTAAATAAACAGGGAACTACAGAGCTGCTTAACTCTAAAAGCAATGACAGTTACAAGCAGCCAGCCCAGTCCTTTGCAGAGTATATTCCAGAGCCTTCTCTGAGCCTCAAAAAGAAGACCGCAGGGGATGCATAAGATCGGAAGGAGAAGGTGGTTTTCTTTTCCCTTAGGACAGGATGACACACAAAGCAAACATGCATGCAGTACTGATGTCCCAGTCTGCGTGACCTTTCCATCTACTGTCAAGCCATCAAATTTTAAATAAGGGAATCTGTGCAGACACATGCTGCCGATGGATTCTATTTTGGTCTGACAACTTTGTGCAAGGGACCCACTTTTTAAAATGTGTTCTCCTAGCACCACTTATGGCTTGAATGTCTATAGCTGCCTTAAACTTTATCAAACTATAGTTCTACCTGGCCTGATATTGTTAAGTTGTGGGTGAACATATCAGACGACACTGCGATTCTTCAAACAGCTCTTCTTTATTCAGATGCCAGAACAGGACTAACTGAGGAGCTCAGTCAGCCTGCTTATATAGAGCTCCAGAACAATTGTAACTGTTGCAACTTTCTAAAACTATCCAATCACAGAACGTCACTTTTCGATTTGCATACAAACTATCCAATCACAGAACGTCACTTTCGATCCTTCATTTGCATAACTATCTACAGTATCCCCCTGCTGGCCCAGGGTTAGAACATCAGTACATAACAGATATTGCCTATCCTGATCAGCTGTGACTCTCCATGGCAGAAACAGCGAACATGGTACCCCGCTGATGTTGCTGAGCAGGGATAGGGAACCTCCAGCCCACAAGCCATTTGGCCCATGAGGCCATTTCCCCTGAAACCATGCCTACCTGCCCCATACCTGGTGTCATATGTGTTATCAGGTATGGAGCAGCTAAGGGTGTAGCTTAAAAGGAACAAGCAGGAACATAGAGTAGGCTCCCAGTTGTTTCACTGTCAGTGGGACTCACTGATCAGCCGGGATTAGCTGCACTAAGGGATTTCCCAACAGGAACTTCCTAGTGCAGCCAAGGGGGCTCATTGCTAGTGCTATTACAAAAGCCTATTGCTGAATTTGTTAAGGACAGCAAAGAATTTTAAGCAGATTTGCCTGCATGTTTAGCTACATACACCCCAAGGTGACAAAGGTACTTCCGGATATTAAGAAATGGTGACAGACACCTTGTCCTCTGAGACACGGCTATGCCTAGAAAATAATTCCACACTTGGAATATAATAAGCATTTTGTACTGTAGTCCTTTGGTTTCTGGGTGTCCACATATCACACCCAAAGCTATTTGGCCTTGTTGGAGCAAAAAGCATTTCACCCATATTGTGCAAGTGTATAAATCTTTGTAGTGGTGTAGGAGAGCTGGGGGGTGGGGAATCGCATCTGGCAGCCAATGTGCTCCTTTGATTTCAGATAGTATATGGGCAAAGGTAAAGGGACCCCTGCCGTTAGGTCCAGTCGCGGACGACTCTGGGGTTGCAGCGCTCATCTCGCTTTATTGGCCGAGGGAGCCGGCGTACAGTTTCCGGGTCATGTGGTCAGCATGACTAAGCCGCTTCTGGCGGACCAGAGCAGCGCACGGAAACGCCATTTACCTTCCCGCTAGCAGCTATGGTGGTACCAGAATTAAACTCTGGAATAAACAGCAATTTGGGTTTTTCATAGATTGCTGTTTGCTCTGATTCAGCAGTAATGAGTGGGTTTTTGCAGAGTAAGTGGCAGGTGGGGAAGGACTCAGACACAGAGCTTTAAAGTGTGGACCTGTGCCTAGAAACACAGCTCAAAAGGAAGTCTGGATGAGCCCTCTTTGAGGGCCATAGGAACATCTATCTTAATTTCCAGCCAATGACGTGTTTGCTCATCTGTGGGACTCTCTTCTTTGAATGACATGCTCTCAGCAAGTGTGGTTCATGTTTAATGTGCCACCATGGAGTAAATTATACACTCAGATCATTGCACATCACTGGGCATCACCCTTATGACATCACTGCCCCTAGGTGGGCCCTGAAATTTCAGAGTCTGGGATGTCCCTGATCTGGCCACCCTACCGGTGTCCTAAATATGCCCCAGAGAGAGGCGGGGAAATGTGGGACGTCATCACATGAGGACATGGCAAATTCTATCAGACATTTTGGAGTGTGAGGGGAAAGCTAACCCTCCAGTTGTCCTTTTCAGCAATAGCTAGCCACACGGTTAGCTCAGTATCTAGTCTGGCCCTCAATAACTCAAGGCTGTCTTGCAAGGAAGGCCGGGGACAAAGAAAAATGCTGCTTCTTGTAAACCAGTATTGCTATCATGAGCATCGTGCAATACACAGATAGGCATTCTCAGCTCAAAAGGGATTACAATCTTAGAGAGGAAGAAAATGCTAACAAACGTAGATAACCGGCTGCTTCAGTCTCTAGCTGCTAAATTCATTTCAAGCCTTTCTTTCCCATTTGCTCTATTGATCTTTGCAGCCAACTGAAACGGAAAAGAGGCAGGGGAAATACTTGCATTTATAGACCTGATTACTTCAGCCAGCTCCTATTAAATAAAAATAATTAGATAAATGTTTACATTTTCAAATTAAACTTAATCATTTTCTATTTGTCTTTCCACATCAAGGAACTTCCGCTTTCCCCATTTTAAGCATCGACAGGAGAAGGAATTTGCAGAGGTATCAACTGAGAGGCCAGGCATGCAAAAATACACATCTCATCATATAATTTACTCAATTCACTAAAACGTGGTTTTAATATGCCTTTATATCCCCAATTCTTTTTTTCCCCCCATAACCAAAGGACTCTTAATTATCAATTTTTCATGCTGGGAGACTCAGAAGGGAAATGTCACAAATAAATTTATACAGCAAACATGTAGAGTTTTAATTGTGTATCTTTCCCCAAATAATCCAAGGAATTCAGTGACACCCCTATTGCTTCTCTACACAAACCTACAATTCCCAGGGTTTCAGTTTCAGTTTGTGGTGTAGCTATGACCACTAAGTCATGATAGCCAAGCATAAAGGCACCACAAACAGTATGTTTGTCCTCTCACAGCCTACACTGCAGTGGCATGGAACCTCCTGCACAACCTTCCGAGGGTCACCTGCTAGTGATGTATGGGGGCAGAGGCAAAGTGGGAAGAGCAACAAATGGAAATTTTACATTTGCACAGTAGGCTCATTTCTATACTCACACACCCCTCTTCCCTCCATCCAGAAAAAGCAAGGGGCATCAGTAGCGTTCAAGAACATAATCCAGTTTGGCAAAAGCACTTGGGGTACAGAGAAAGACCAGTAGCTATGTGTGGAGAGTTCCAAGGGCCATATAAAGAAGACTGGAGGGTACACACCACAAGTGTCCTCGAAAAACTGGGACATCCCATTTTTTTCTTGTGAGAGAACGGTGGCTCTTTTGGATGCTGTGTTCTCACACAATTTCCGCTGCAATTTCCCACCCACCCCCAAACACTTTTTCAGGACCACAATCTCACACAGCACCCCAAAACACATGTTTTGGGGCACCGAGCCCAAGAAAAGAAGTGTTTTTCAGGGGGAATCGCAGCATGAAATTGTGCAAGGTCACGACATAAAAAATGGGAAGATGGCATCCGGGTAGGTTTGGGTCCCAGATTTTGCTGTCATTGTGTTGGAGGGTATGAGAAGGTTGCATTTGGCCCCAGGCCTGAGGTTCCCCAACCCTGGCTTGCAGCTTCCCTGTAAGTTAGTGGAATGTTCTCAGCCAGTGGCAGAGTGATACTTTCCTATACTTTTGATTCTTCATGGTACCCCTGTTTTGTCATCCACCTACCACTCTGCTTCTTCTTTCCTCTTCAATGGTGCCTTCAATTCCCTGCCTTGCTGTATTTATAGCACATCATCCTGATCTTGCCCAGTGGCTCCATGGCGTTTGCTAGTCTTCAGAACAGAAGCAAATGCCCCAAGCAGGCAGGAAATACTTAAGGTGAAGTTGGCTTTGGCTTCTTTTACAGCCTGTGATCTAGGCAGCTAATGACTTGGATGACAAGGAAACAGGCAATTGTGATACGCTAACTTGATACCAACTTTGTTACGGCTAGAAACATGTGCCATGTGCTTGACTTTGCATTTTGGCAGGAAACCTTGTGAAAGACACCCATCCACTTCCCGCTGCAATCAAAGAAAGGCCGCTTGGTTGGTTTAAGTGGGCCCAGGCACCTAATATAATAAACATAGATGCTCCTAGCAAATTTCCTGGATGCCTGGAGTTTATGAGCAGTGAGCTAACTGCTTCCAAACTAAAATCATCCATGAATGCTTGCCCTCACCGTTCCACTTCATAAAAGGAAGACAGT